TCTTGCTTTGTTCAGTATATTAATCCATCTGTTCACTCAGCTATTTCTTCCTCAGGTTTTTTTGCCATTTCTTTATTACCTAACTCAGTTACCTATCTATTATGTGATCGTTTACCTAATGTTGATGTTGTCGAAGCTGTCTGCTATATTGGTCTCTACTTTGAGAGTTATCTCCAAACACTCCTAACCAGTGCCGTGTTCTAACCACAAGCACTAGCGCTAGAGAACATAGATATGTTGCAAGCATCAAAGAGAGGATCACGCACTGAGCCTACTTCAAGAGATACATTAACCACCAGGAATTTCCAACTGGTCTCGTGTTATGTAGTTTGATAAGCGGAAGGTTGCCTCACACAGGAAGAAGGGGGTCTCAGATAGTACACTTGTAGTACACCTTGTAACAGCCCTGTGGCAGCACCAACAGCAGCAGCAGGTGAGGAACTCTGCAACATCGACAATGCTGGTATGCACACTATCAGGTTGGCAGGTGAAGCTGTTTGTTTATTTCTACGGGCCACCACCATCAGAGTGTAGTTGCTGAAGCTGACTTGCGGCTCCTATTACTCGCCTGTTTACACATGTACACCGAGTATTTGTGCGATGTGAAACGTTCCATTTTTGTTCAGGAGGCAGAAGAGCGTTCTTCCTTCACACAGCAGACGAGTGATCTAGAGAGGGAGGAAGGGACTGACGATGGGAGGGTAATTGGGCTCTGCAAAACTACTGATGGATGCAAAAATGTTATTGATAACAAATCTATAAGTGATATTCATCTCAACAAACACAGATCCTCTGGAACAAACTAAAGAGATCTTGTTGCGCTGGTGCCAAGTGCTGATATGAGCAGGATCTCTAACAGTGATATTCCTCTTTCAAAGGAATCCCAGGGAATGCACTCATGTTTCTCGGAGATTGAGATGTTATAGAGGAATGGTTCGTACTCCCTGTCAGACACAAGGTATTGCTGAGGTATTACTGGCATAGCCTGCAGAATTTTGCATAGGTATTGATCATATTCCCCCTACTCCACAGGGACCCTCCCACCAACACAGCTCTGTGCCCCCTCCCCACACCACCTCCTCCACAGGGACCCTCCCACCAACAAAGCTCTGTGCCCCCTCCCCACACACCACTGCCTCCAGTACCACTGCACAGGGACCCTCCCACCAACACAGCTCTAGTGCCCCCTCCCCACACACCACTGCCTCCACAGGGACCCTCCCACCAACACATCTCCCACAGGCCTAGTGCCCCCTCCCACCAACACATCTCCCACAGCTCTAGTGCCCCCTCCCCACACCTCACTGCCTCTGCAGTCCCCAGTGATAGAGCCCCAGTGTACATACCTTCTCCTGGTGATTAGTCAGTCAGCATCCCTCCCTTTGTGCATGTAACAGCTCAGTTCTCCTGCTGTGTCGCACAGGAAGCCAGGTCACTCCTCCGCCCCACAGCCAATATGTCCCTCTATGATCACAGATAATCCCACCGCTAGAGCCGGGTGATGGCTGACCCATCTACTGCAAATTTCATTACAGTCCGGGGCTTATTGATCCACTTCTCATTAGGGAAATTACTAGCGACTGTTGGCGCAATCACACGATGAGTGTGATCCCACTGCTTGCTCCTCTGTGCTAGCCCGTGTGATGCGTTGATCCGACCCTCGAGCTTCCACCAGAGGCGAGATGCTCACCTCCACACCTCTCCGCAAACACAGGACTGCAGATAACAGAGTGCCCTCTGTTCTGTGTGTCCACAAGTCAATCTCTGGCAATGTGTTGACGTCTAAGCATCACACAACCTACACGACTTGCAGGTCTGCCAACGTAAAACACGCTCCACAAACAAGCTTTAATTTGTCAGTCAAGTGCAAGGTGGGATACCCGAGCCGACGTGTTAGCATACATGCCCCTCGTGCATCCTGACAGAGACACAATGCCTGGCATGCATATCCACGCTCATCTAAACACTCTCAATATCTCCTCCTCACAAGATCCTAGTCAACTTGTTCACAAAGCAAAGACTTTGGAACATGTCTCTTGAATTTCAAATCATTTGACAAGTTCTATCAACAGAAACTGTGTGCGATATGTAACGACTCTGTTACAAATCTTTCCCTCAGATAGCAGATAGAACTGAGATTTTCACACGGCAAACTTTTCAGCAGACGTCTCAGCATGGAGAGCAGACGGACAAGCTGATCAGAGGCAGGAGCAGCTTGATGGGAGTATTGATTCCTACACCGATAACTACATCACTGCAAGATGTCCCCTGCTCCAGTGAGAATTTGCCTCTCTACTACTGCCTTTTGAACGAGTCTTTTCAACTGCAGATTACCATATAAGTTATTCTGAGGACCTTATTCTGAGAATAATACAAATCCCACATGCATCTCTTGCAAATTTAATAATCCTGGGTGAAATATACACTTTATAAATATTATATCATATTTTTGCATCGGCGTAATTCTTATATTAGAAATAGGTTATTTATGTTTTTCCCCTTTGATGTTAATTTATTTCATCTATTTACCAGATATCTAAATTGATTCCTGGAAGTGGATAAGCATCACATGTCGGGACTTGAAGACAAACGCAGCTTCACGCCGCATCTATCAGTAGATCTATACCCGTCTATGACTGTCTCTCTCCTCGTCTGATGGACCCTCTCATTCCCTCCCCGACCATCTATCTGCTCATTAGCTCGATCAATGCACAAGTACCACAGCAGTACGAGGTGGAGTCGATCGACAGCGATGCTTCACACATCAACCCAACTTCCCATCTAATTCTCAGCACAGAGGAGTTTTGTATGCTGCATGTAACCAATCTAACGATCACCTCTTAACTTCCCCGCGGAGCTCTGCCTGACAGAGCTTGGCTACATTAAGAATTTACCGCCTCGTCTCGAATGCTTTTCCCAACAGTATGATCTCTGACCTCCATTGAAGCAGGGTTCAGGCAGGATTAAGATCAGGAGAGTTACTTCCCTTATATTGGTCACTTGGGTCAGCTCATTTGTCCGGAGATGACATTTGATGGCTATGTAATTGTGATAACAGTGGGGATTGATGATAGGACATATTGCCTCGGTTCTGTCAACATGCAGCATTCCAATATATACACTCATCATTTCCTCCTTTGCCAGACTGTGGTATCGTGGTGGCTATCACGGAACTGACCCAGGTCACTATACAGCAAGCTAACACCCATCCCAGTGAGCTAATCAGGACCAACACCTGACATATTCAGAATAACATATAATCTTGTGATGACACCAAATGATGAGATTCTGATTAAAAATTTCAATATCCATGGCCCCGGAAAGCAGTTCAATATTTTTTAAGTATGGCTGATGAGAATCCTGAAAAATACAGGCAAAAAATATTTTTGTGACATTTTCAGTATCTTTTTTAAGATGTTAATTTTTTTCAAAAACTAATTTAGCATGTGACATTGCTGTATCATTTCATTAATCAATGATGCATTCAACAAATGTTCAAGTTCCATATACTCCATACAAACATAACAAAATGGAGGACATAAACTCCATGTCTCAGAGGTATATTCCGAAATTTCTTCATTTAAGTCCTTGTGGAACCCAGATCAAATGTGCCTGCTTCCCACCATTACCCACAATCCTCTGGGACAGGAAGCAGCCCAGATGACAGATTTGCCAGCAACAAGCGTTAGTCTGACAAGATGTCCGCCTCCTTTCGTGTGTTGCTAGGCAGTAAGGAAGACCAAGGGTGCTGTAGCAAAATGCTGTCGGAGTGGTCAACTCGGTATCACTTATCTTATGGGGTTGTTAACCATTTACTGATTACACAGTAACCATGACAACTGGTCATGTGATCAACAACTGCATATCCTGTGTTGAAAATCTTGAAATGCTCTAGAGAATTATGTGTCAGATGTCCTTGGAAATTGTACTACATTCAATTGAGCCCTGACTGGGCCCTTTAGCAGCGCGACGTAGTGTGTGCCCCTGACTGGTCCCTTTAGCATCGCGACGTAGTGTGTGCCCCTGACTGGTCCCTTTAGCAGCGCGACGTAGTGTGTGCCCCTGACTGGTCCCTTTGGCAGCACGACGTAGTGTGTGCCCCTGACTTGGCCCTTTAGCAGCGTGACGTAGTGTGTGCCCCTGACTAGGCCCTTTAGGAGTGTGACGTAGTGTGTGCCCCTGACTAAGCCCTTTAGGAGTGTGACGTAGTGTGTGCCCTTGACTCGGCCCTTTAGCAGCATGACGTAGTGTGTGCCCCTGACTGGTCCCTTTAGAAGCATGACGTAGTGTGTGCCCGTGACTGGGCCCTTTAGCAGCGTGATGTAGTGTGTGCCCCTGACTAGGCCCTTTAGGAGTGTGACGTAATGTGTGCCCCTGACTGGGCCTTACAGGAGTGTGACGTAGTGTGTGCCCCTGACTGGGCCCTTTAGATGAGTGATGTAGTGTGTGCCCCTGACTAGGCCCTTTAGGAGTGTGACGTAGTGTGTGCCCCTGACTAGGCCCCTTAGCAGCTTTAGGAGTGTGACGTAGTGTGTGCCCCTGACTGGGCCCTTTAGAAGTGTGATGTAGTGTGTGCCCCTGACTGGGCCCTGTAGCAGCATGGTGTAGTGTGTGCCCCTGACTTGGCCCTGTAGCAGTGTGATGTAGTGTGTGCCCCTGACTGGGCCCTTTAGGAGCCTGATGTAGGGTGTGCCCCTGACTAGGTCTAACAGGAGTGTGATGTAGGGTGTGCCCCTGACTGGGCCTTACAGCAGAGTGATGAAGAACGTCCTGCATTAGTGGGTTTGCGTGATGAAGAGTGTTCTACTGGATGGTTTTAGTGGTGAAGTGTTTCCCCAATACCTTGAAGAATCTTAATGGCCAATCTTAATTCTAGTGTAGATGAAAAACATGTCTCTTGTCCCCAGTTTATGGGAAATTGCATTCTGGAGACGTGTATCTGCTATGACAGGTCTTGGTGGAGTGACAGACAGAGCTGCAATAGAATTCTGAGTACTCACGATTCTCTGTGTGGCGATCCTGAACCAGCGGTTGATAGACAGACTCCGGTACTTCAGACAGGCGGAAAAACCACTTGATGTGAACCACTAGCGTGTCCCTCTTAGTCTGAAACCGACAGCAGGACATACAACACAGTGATGCTGGATCTCATTGCCTTTATCGTCTTCAAGGAGACAACGTTACGACAAACTACAGCAGTGGGGCCAAAAACTGATCTACCTCACAACTACAACATAGTGAAACCAGTGATGATAGGAAGTGACTTATCTACCTCAGAGTGAGTGAGTGAGTTTAGTTTTACGCTGCTTTTAGCAATATTCCAGCAATATCACAGCGGGGTCTACCTCAGAGACTCATGACAGCAACAATGTGCAACAACCAATTCCAGTGATACCAGGAAGTGACTCATCTGTTTCCAAGACCTACTGACAGGGATATGTGCAACCATGTTCCAGCCAATAATTTACGCCATTACAAGCCATTATCACAAACTTTCACAAGGTCTTCCTTTTACAATTAGTTTAGCCGTGAAAGGAATATTCATTGTATCATACAAGCAAACAATTACACAAGAGAGTGGCCTGGAGAGAGATGTTTGACAAAACTGGGAATTGTTTTACAATGGGAATAGATTATTTCTGGCAGGTTGAGGGAATACTGACAATCTCACAAGAGAGACTTGACTAGCTGTAGCTATCTGTCTATACTCCTCAAAGATCATGTAAACACAAGCTTGAAGAAATGTGCAAGATGAAATTTTCCTTAAAAAATATATCTATATCGACCCCAAAGTATTCAGTATGTAATTTTCCCTTAAACATATACCTGTATAGATAACAAGGGATGCAATATGAACATTTCGTTAAAATATATTGCATAAATACATTGGCATTCAATATGTAATTTGCTTTAATTTTGTTTTTTTATTTTTTAAATTAAAAAAATATCTAATATCTGTACAGATACCTAGGATCAAGTTAACGTAAATGTGAAGAAACATGCAATCTAATAAAAATATCCCCCAAAACATATTTGTTCCTTTCTATTTCTATAAGAAAGCAGAACATCGTTCAGAACTGTGTGAATACAAACAAACAGACATAGATGGAGATGTAGTTACAAGTCTTCTATTATGACTCTGGTACAGACATGTTTCCAACTTGCTTCTGATAAAAACATCCTTGACCATGGAAAGAATCAACTCAGCATTAAGGTAACTCTTGCACAACCACCACCAAGATAACTCCTCCACTACAACTGACAAGATAACTCCTCCACTACAACTGACAAGAAAACTCCTCCACTACAACTGACAAGAAAACTCCTCCACTACAACTGACAAGAAAAAACTCCTCCACTACAACTGTCAAGTAAACTCCTCCACTACAACTGTCAAGAAAACTCCTCCACTACAACTGTCAAGATAACTCCTCCACTACATCTGTCAAGAAAACTCCTCCACTGACAAGATAACTCCTCCACTGACAAGATAACTCCTCCACTACAACTGACAAGAAAACTCCTCCACTACAACTGTCAAGAAAACTCCTCCATTACAACTGTCAAGAAAACTCCTCCACTACAACTGTCAAGAAAACTCCTCCACTATAACTGTCAAGAAAACTCCTCCATTACAACTGTCAAGAAAACTCCTCCACTACAACTGTCAAGAAAACTCCTCCACTACAACTGTCAAGAAAACTCCTCCACTGACAACTGTCACAAGAAAACTCCTCCAACTGTCAAGAGAAAACTCATACTCTACAACTGTCAAGAAAACTACTACAACTGTCAAAAACTCCTCCACTAAACTCCTCCACCATTACAACTGTCAAGAAACTCCTCAAAACAACTGTCAAGAAAACTCCTCCACTACAACTGTCAAGAAAACTCCTCCACTACAACTGTCAAGAAAACTCCTCCACTACAACTGTCAAGAAAACTCCTCCACTACAACTGTCAAGAAAACTCCTCCACTATAACTGTCAAGAAAACTCCTCCACACAACTGTCAAGAAAACTCCTCCACTACAACTGTCAAGAAAACCTCCACTCCAACTGTCACAACTGTCAAGAAAAACTCCTCCACTACAACTGTCAAGAAAACTCCTCCACTACAACTGTCAAGAAAACTCCTCCACTACAACTGTCAAGAAAACTCCTCCACTACAACTGTCAAGAAAACTCCTCCACTACAACTGTCAAGAAAACTCCTCCACTACAACTGTCAAGAAAACTCCTCCACTACAACTGTCAAGAAAACTCCTCCACTACAACTGTCAAGTAAAGATCTCCTCCACTACAACTGTCAAGAAAACTCCTCCACTACAACTGTCAAGAAAACTCCTCCACTACAACTGTCAAGAAAACTCTCCACTACAACTGTCAAGAAAACTCCTCCACAACTGTCAAGAAAACTCCTCCACTACAACTTCTCAAAACAACTGTCAAGAGAAACTCCTCCACTACAACTGTCAAGAAAACTCCCACTACAACTGTCAAGTAAACTCCTCACTACAACTGTCAAGAAAACTCCACTCAACTGACTACAACTGTCAAGAAAACTCCTCCAACTGTCACAGCTCCTCCATTACAACTCAAGAAAACTCCTCCACTACAACTGTCAAGAAAACTCCTCCAACAAGATAACTCTCCACTACAACTGTCAAGAAAACTCCTCCACTACAACTGTCAAGAAAACTCCTTCCTCCACTACAACTGTCAAGAACTCCTCCAAACTCTCCTCCACTACAACTGTCAAGAAAACTCCTCCACTACAACTGTCAAGAAAACTCCTCCACTACAACTGTCAAGAAAACTCCTCCACTACAACTGTCAAGAAAACTCCTCCACTACAACTGTCAAGAAAACTCCTCCACTACAACTGTCAAGAAAACTCCTCCACTACAACTGACAAGAAAACTCCTCCACTACAACTGTCAAGTAAACTCTTCCACTACAACTGTCAAGAAAACTCCACTACAACTGTCAAGAAAACTCCTCCACTACAACTGTCAAGAAAACTCCTCCACTACAACTGTCAAGAAAACTCCTCCACTACAACTGTCAAGAAAACTCCTCCTCTACAACTGTCAAGATAACAAGACCATCATAAGATAATTTCTCCATGTATTTGACCTGCTATATACTGGAATTCAAAGAAACCCTCCTGAACACAGAAGTATTCATGGTCTCTACTTATTCTGTCTCCGAGCTTCAACAACATCCTCCATGTTTTGACACGTTATTCGTTATTTGATGAGGAAGAGAAACTTGCCTCACTCCAATCTTGTTGTCTAAGCTGATCAACTGGTCCTTAACGTAATAAGCCCAACACAAGCCTGGAAATATCGCCACCTTGTGACAGAAGTTGACATATGTTCCTTGAGCTCCACCTAGTGGTACAAGCACACAATATTTGACAGTACACAGCACTGATTCACTGGTTGGCAGCTCGATGAAGCAGCTCGGTGAAGCAGCTCGGAGCTGCTCTGACTGATGTGCCTCCTGTAGAGAATAACGCCATTATGCCATCCAAGTAAAAGCCTCTCATACACACAATGTTCGATATCGTTAGAGGCAAATTAACACACACAAATTAATCAGAAAGAGGCAGATAACACAGTCACTTCCTCAGCGTTTGTAGGGTAAATTGTCGGTGTATTGATCACTGAAGTAAGGAACACAGAGCACCACGGGAGGAATCAGCTCTACTAAGCAATATCAACTGGCTCGGGTATTAATGACAGCCATGTCAGAGAAAGAACTACAGCAAATTAAACCTCTTGATCCGTTCATTGAGACACCTCAGAAGTGAAAGGCTTGCGACTGTGGCAAGTCTTGACAGCGAGCCATGCATGGAGGATTAAGGGTTAATTAACAAGATGGAGATAGCACCAGTTTGAGGTTACGTGACTGAGTAATTTGAATGAAGGCTGAAGGGTTAATGTATGATGGCTTGCAGGTCCTTGCTTGGGGTCCACCACTTGGACCATTTATCATTGACTGGAAGATAAAGAGTTGCTGTGTCACAACATCTGGAGTGGTGTCCTCAGTGTGCCATCGAGGGGTTAATCAAGTGAACCTGTCATGACACTGTAGAGACACGGGATATTCTGTACAGCATACATGGACAATACCACAAAGCATACTATAGAGAGACCATAGATTGTACCACAGACCATACCATAGACCATACATTGTACCAGACCATACCATAGACCATACCATAAAGAGACCATACATGCATCGTACTACATACCATACCAGAGACCATACATGCGTATTACATACCATACCATAAAGAGACCATACATCGTACTACATACCATACTAGAGAGACCATACATCGTTATTACATACCATACCATAAAGAGACCATACAACGTACTACATACCATACCAGAGAGACCATACATCGTACCATAGACCATACCATAGAGAGACCATACATGCGTACTACATACCATACCATAGAGACCATACATCATTACTACATACCATACCATAGACACCATACATGACATACCATACCAGAGACCATACATCGCCATTACCATAGACCATACCATAGAGACCATACATCGTACTACATACCATACCATAGAGAGACCATACATCGTACTACATACCATACCATAGAGACCATACATCGTAGACTACATACCATACCATAAAGAGACCATACATCGTACTACATACCACCATACCATAGAGACCATACATCATTACATACCATATACCATAAAGAGACCATACATCGTACTACATACCATACCAGAGAGACCATACATCATACCAGACCATACCATACCATAGAGACCATACATCATACCATAGACCATACATCGTACCATAGACCATACCATAGAGAGATAGATGCACCACAGACTACAGACCATACCATAGAGACCATAGATTGTACCACAGACCATACCATAAAGACCATACATCGTACCACAGACCATACCAGAGACCATACATCGTAACCACAGACCATACCATAGAGACCATACATAGACCATACCATACCAGAGACCATACTTGTACCACAGACCATACCATAAAGAGACCATACATCGTACTACAGACCATACCAGAGATCAT